GCTGACGGTTTTCACGACCTCATCTCGCCTCTCTCCGACTTTGGCCCGAGCATCGACTTCTCGAGCCCCTTGCAGAGGTCAAATTCAACACGGTCGGATGAGCTCTGGATGGACAGGTGATCAAGCTGTGCGTTCTCAACGAATCTACTGGGACGCTATGTTCTGGCATGAATTTTGCGGCGTTGTGACATGGCATATTAATACATTACGACGGGCGGAGATCGGGCTACTGGAATTCATGCCATGCGGCGAACGGAGTTGGAAGGCATTGCGTGAAAGTGATTTCATGAATAAACGTCAAATCGTTATATCGAATGGTCACTTTCGCCATGGCACTATTTTACGTATCTATATCGTTTTGAAAGACCCCTAAAGAGGAGGCATTATGATCTATGATTACAAAATACAAAGATAAAGCTGCGTATTGATGCAGGCCCTCTTAATGCATAGTTTTTCTACATTCTCCCTCTCTTGCTACTCGTCTTCCCAGATTGGTACATATCAAAAGGAAAACCAGCGATCCAAAAACAGCAGTGATCTTACCCGTACACACGAGATAATAACCTCTATCAGCTGTTTGGAAAAGACAATTTTTGATGGGCTATCCAGGTAAAGCGTGCGAGATCTAAGATCAAGCGTTTCATCTCATTACTGTCCGGGTCATAAATCCTCCCAGCACCCTAGAAACTTTACGGGGTTGGCCCCTCACCCTGTCTCTCATTGTCATCGTTTCAAGAGCGTCCTTGAAACATGAAAACACATTGCCTCAGATCTAGGGACCCGTGCCTGTTGGGCACTAACGCTACACAATTAGGCCCATCTCAAGAAATGAAAACTCAGATTGTTGTCGGCGGTGCTTTGTTGCCTACAGGGGGGATGCCCGTCACGATTCCAACGTCAGCGGCTGCTCGACGTAATGTGCCACTGCACATAACGCCAAGAATTAACCGCCCCGGATAAAGGCCGTACATCTGCCGCTGACGCCCCGGCCTCAATCTCTACGCTAGAGCAAGTGAGGCTCCGCCATGGACAGACACAATGGATCTTACCATCGCACTGCATCAACATAATAGCACTTCTCGATGGCAGTGTCTTTCTCTTTCTCCTTTCTGCAACCCGTCTCCGTGATCTTACGCGCCATATGATAAAATGAGGCCGAAGAAGCGAGGCTAGCTGCTGTATTCGCATCCCTAATCGGGCATATGAGCCGGCCACTACAACGTTGTCATGGTCTGGTGTGTACGCGCTGTCGGCCAACACGCGTCGGCCAGAGTGCCGCAGACGTGCAACCGGGCTTGCTAGGATCGGATCTATCTAGCACAAGGCTCTCCGTACTTATTTCCCTGCGATCTCAATGCCGCTTGCCCACTTCTCGCCCCCATTTTCACTCTGCATTATCTAGTTGACACACCTCGTTTCCAATTGGTCCGAGACGATGCACAGGATTTGGCCCTCTGGTCTAAGCCGGATGGTATAAAGGTGTTGTTATGGCACGTAGCGGGATCGACAAGTAGCACGGCAGACCTCACGGCCTCGACATGCTCCTGGCTTCACAGGACTCGGCCTATCTCCTTCGCAACGTTGAGTCCGGTGGTCTCCTTAGATTACACCGTCTACATTATTATCGCAACCATGAAGGCCTACGCTGATGCATCCCCTCGTCTCGCTTAGTTACGATTGGCTTCGCTTCTTGCTATATGACGCATCCTCGGCTGGCTCAGGCTATGGTGCAAGATGTCGACAGCTACTGAGCAATAACTGATGTCCAGCGGTATTACTGTAAGGAAAAGAAACCAACATGAGGAGTGAACGTCCAAGTATACCATGAATCGCATATAAGCAAACTTAGTTGCTTGCTGGCACCCCAACGTCGTATGTCGATGATTTAAATTGGCCGTGCAGACTATCTAGTTATACAACTATTAGACTATCCTGAGGCCGTTGTCTTAGATCTCGCGTTCGGTATACTGCTCAACATGGGGTATCTCAGATCGCATGCTCTGCTAAGCGTTGCATCTCGCTTGATACTGGGCCTCGATTGGCGATCGGCCGTTCTATATATAGATCAAGTATCCTCGATGAGCCGACTTACCAGGCAGGTCCAATGCATCACTGAAATATCATCCGAGAATGTAACTGCAATTAATTTTATTGATATGTAGTTTAGATACGGCGTATAGTTAGGCCGAATTTGGAATACCACGATATCTAAATGCCTATTGGCACGTTTTATACACATCATTTTAGTTTTTTCGTGAGCTTCATAGGTTTACATGTTGTTGCTACTGCTACAGCCCCTGGGCCCTCACTTATATGTGATGGGCAGACAATTGGTGTAGAGGGAGATCTGCTGCGACAGCCTCGGTAGCCAACATGTTCTTTTGCTTCGCAACATAACGCCACAACAGGATCAGTCCCATCTTCGGACTGCGCCTCCTATTAGCGTACATATAGGTATAACTTATGTCCTTACCGCCTATGACATTTGACCCGGACACTTCTTTTTTGTCATGTGGCTTTATGTGCATGAGATAAGAATATACGACGCATAGGATATCCGGATGTGATACGTCTACGGGTATCAAAATCGTGAGTGAGGTTGGTGTCGCAGTTGTGGCCGTAGGGGTGGCTGCAGGGGGCCAAGAGCCCGTTTGATAGCATTTCACCCTGGTGGTTCAGCAGTGGTATAGTATAGCAGTCTCATATGCATCACTGAGGCGTGTTCTCACAAGGTCCCGAGCCGATACGTCGTAACACTACGAAACTATAACCACCGTTCATAATCATAGGCATCTAAACTATCACAGACCGTCGACTGCGTGGCTTGGTATCACTCCTACCCCCGTTTAGGTTAAAATAGCAGTTAAATCTTATTCCCCCACGGTTCCGTGCCGTGACACCAGGCCGGATTTCACGCGACGATGAAATTCGTGGACCAAAGAAGACAAATGCTGCGGCACTGGTCTCCTGAGCAAGGAGACGAACAAAGTCGAACTGTAAAATCCCGTCCCTTAGCCAATCAGGAAACATGAGAGATGCTATAGGAATAATCACATCTACGGGCATAGCATCTCGCCGAGCAAATTCAACCCGGAATTTTAACAAATCAGCCTATGCGATTGTTTGGGGGATTCCTCAGGGGTGAGGTCTCTGAAGATTGCAATCATAGTCGGCGTTATTGCTTGTCCATTTATGTTTAAACATAGTAAGAGCGAGCCTATTGCGGCGACATAATAGCCTTTCCCCTAATACATGTTCACTATATCTCTCCTCTTGGACAAGACTATGTAGAGGAGAGATCACTGTAGCAGGCATAATGCCGAGTATCTTATCACCGTCAGGATAAAAGCGACTAAATACGGGGGGAAAAAGTAGCAAGACAAACCGGCAGATTGCGATATCCTTTATGCTTAGATAATGAATGCAAGATAGGCCGTGGGTTTACGGCGAAAGATAGATATGAAAGTTTCTAGCTATGCTAATAGTCCTCTGCTGAGCCACTTGGATCAACATATGAAATAAAAATTAAGCAGACTGTAGAATAAAATCAAACTATTGTGATGGAAAGTATGGCCTCTCAACATTTTTATACGCGCGTTATGATCGCCACTCCGACCACCTATGCCGTCGAACCTGAGAACTCAACGTGTTTAAGAATTAAATCTTAAAACCTTAATGCTTAATTCCTATCTAGTACGGCTACGTTCATAGTTACTTGACAACTCTTGAGGTGGCACCAGAGCCACGCTATATTATCGTTCATGGGTCGATAATACCTGCAACCAATGTGTTCAACAAACAATATAGCCTATTAAGTTATCGCTATATCCGTAAACTGATCGCGGATTAATCATTACGGTATTACCTTAGGTAAGTTAGGTAGGTGGGCTCCAGCTCTAAACGATTCATTCAACCACCTCAAGTCACTGGACTACCGGTACCTTTGTTCCTGTCGCGCATGCAACACCAAGGGCCGGAGCCAAGAAAACAAGACCGAGCGAATCATACCAGACCACCCTGGATTCGGTTACAATGGCGGGCAAAGACAACAAGGCGGCAGCTGACGACAAGACGGCAGAAGAATTCACATCTTGGTATCTACAGCAGTGCACCAAGGAATTTGCCGAGGATTTAGACAAGATCCGCAGCGCCGACGACTTCAAAGGCCCGGCGCTGCCTATGCTCATCCATTCGCTGCAGCAAGGGACTTCGATGTTCTCACCGGCGACGCAAAAGAGGATCCTCGATGCAGAGAAGGCCAATGCCGCTAAGGACAGCCGTGATGGCGGGAAGAAATCTGCATGACCTACCTTCAAAGTGCTGAGCTGCCGAGAAGCTTGAGTAGTGTTGGGGGCCCCGACCCGGCTGCGGTGTGCATCTATTTCGAGTCACAGCGGTGCTCACGGTAGGCCCGAATACATTGCCACACCGGTCCGCTGGTTGTTACTGATCAGCCTGCCTAGATACTACATTTGACCCGGAAACATGAAGAGGTGGTTGAAGCGTGGATGATGGACTGGGCGCGATTGCCTGCTGGATCATTACCCTCGGAATATTCCTGAACTAGATCGTGGACAGCGGGAGACGGATGGAACTACTCGGTATACGAAGAATGAACGCATTGTCATGCAAGAACTGCCGGTACATATCTTGACTGTCATTTACATAGCCAGCAGAAAGACGAAACCATCACCTTCCCTTGGAATCTGGTGATTATATCAACACATATAACCTGAGTCTCGGAGCTCTTAGTAGAAGGCACTCCGCCAGTCTACCTGGGACCAAATAGCAGTACTTCACGTATTTGAAACCGTGTCGGCATGGTTTGGTTGAGCAAATTGGTAGAGAACTTAATCAGACTTTGAGTGTTGGCAGTTGCCCGTCTATGAGAGGGTAGCTACAAGCCAAAAAAGAAGAGCAATATTTCTGCCCCTCTGTCTGAACCCCACATCGTCTCTTCGACATAGGCACCAATGCGGGGTATGATTGCTATCGATTAAGGCATGTTGCCAGAGTGGTTAATGGGTGAGACTTGAATTCGCTTTAGAATTAAGCCATCTCATGACTTCGGTCGCGTAGGTTCAAATCCTGCACATGTCGAGTAAAACTTTTTGTCTTTTTGCTTTTTGCCCATTTTCTTTTCTCGTAGCTTTAGACAAATTGATAAACACCCAAATCATTTCGCTTTTTGTGGTGCCATGGCAGAACCGCAGTAAAGATTAGGCATCTTATCAAGCAGTAGACATACCCGACTGATGCTCTGCATTCAACTCTTCTAAGTAATTGTATGATGATGTATATTTATCCAGCATGCGAGTCAGTGTCTCAATATCTCGTTAATATCTATATACTATGCCCCTTGCCCATCATAATCGCGATTGTCATAACCCCCCATCTCCGGTCACCCGCAGCCGGCTTCCCCAGTGAATCCAAATGATCGAGGCGATGCATCTATCCAAACCCGCAAAAACAATAACCGACAAGCCATTTCCCAAGGGGTATCATTCGAATGTAAATAAAAGTTCCAGAACATTAATTAGTGATGAGATTGGCCGCTCGTTTGAGTGGCCATACCGTCATCGATGCGCCGGTAACGGAACAGATCCCGTATGCTGAACTGCTCTCGTCATATGCAGCGGAAACCAAGCATCTTTGTATAGATACTACTGGTAACCTTTCTTCGTATGTTTTGTGTTCTCAAGTGTATTTTTTCTACTTTCTCGAGTGGCGTTTCCAACGTAGAGTGTGGCCTAATTCTTTGCGGACGGCCCACCCTTTGAAGGCGAGGAGAAGGACAACCCACGCCATAAAAAGACCGACAAGGCCCATTGTCATAGTGTAGAAAGACATGGCGTCCAGGTTGTAATGAATCATGCCTTGGATAGTGTCGCCACTCTGTTGACGTGATTAGTTGCGTGCTCTATGCCGATGATTAGGGACCAGATTTTTACATACACTTGCCATGAAAATGGTGCCACCAGAGATCAGACCAAAGGCTGTCAATAGCTCGGTGGGCGGCCGAGATGGCAGCACAGACCGCGGTGGCTTTAGGTAGAGTAGCACGTATGTGAATCCTCGAGCGAAGGAAGCTCCTGTAAGCAAATTGCCCCATTGCTTATGAACCATGGTCGAGATCATAGTCTGCTGCTGGTGCGAGCTCATCATGATGCCGAGCAGCAGAATCACGAGAGCCGGGATCGGGTTGATCGAGAATTCATATTGTCGTGGAGGCTCGAGCGCAGCACGTTCTTCGTCGCTATAGGCGTGGCTTGGATGCGATAGCGAAGCTTCCGTTGTTGTCGTGTTTAGTAGTTCACGGATGCGACTAGACTCAATGAGCATGGCCAGCTGTTGCTCTTATTAGTGTCTGATACGTCACTGTAAACTAGGGGAACCATACAGAGCCGCCTCCGATGAAGAGGACGGTAATTGAAACATGCTCCAAGTCCTGAGAACTGAATGTCGAATCGGTGCTGCCTAGATGCTCAAGGAAGATGTTCGTTGCGCCATATGTAAAGATCAGCGCGCCCTCCACGAATTCAGCACTCGGTCTCCATTTTTGGGAGCGCTGCTTGGGACGGACATTCCAAGCCTATATTATGGATTAGCGTGCCAGGCCGTCGGTGCTTAACAATATTCAGACTTACCCAGCCTAGCTCTCCGAAGCTACCAGACCACCGGCCCAAAGTCAGGATACCATACCAGACAAAGATACCACCCTTAATCCAATGCGCCAACCCACTGAAGACTTCGTGGCCCTCCTACGACGATGGTTAGGAAAATGCGATACTAGTCACACGGTTCACGTTCAGTTGACTTACGAAGAAACGTGCATAGGTAATTAGGCCTGTACAGAGCGTGACGTAGCCTAGAATTAGGATTATGCGATCTATAACCCCATAACCAAGCATGACGGCTTTCCAAGCCTTAATTGGGACTCTGCTGGCCATCTTGACAACAAATGACCACGATACGCTGGAAGGCTGCATTTCAGCGGGTTTGAAAGGCAGGTCCTCGTCATCCTCATCGTCCTCGTTGTACTCTCTCCGTCGGTCGCTAAGCTCGATTGGTGATTCAAGGCCAACCATAGTGGAGACCGAGGCACTTCGAAGCGACTCTGTGTTTCGTTCCGTTCCATGACCACTATCATTTGATTCTCGGTACGGAGATGAGTGTCCGCCTGAGTGCATACGGTGGTGTTCAGCCATGGCCTCAGTAGACACAGGTATGAACGATTGCTGTTCCTCTCTGCCGTGATTCTGGCGAGACGAGGTGCTCATAAACCCAGCAACCCGGCCCACGAGGCCGACAAGCACCTGTGCACCCACAACCCAAGTAACAAGCCAGCCTAGCTTGTGGTGTGCGTTGTTCGGGTACAGATCCGGTGTATTCGCGTTGTAAACGATGCCTGTTAAGACACCAATTGCATTCGCGAGTAAGAACAGGAATTGAGCGGCAAGCGTGTAGCGTGACCGCGCAATCGAAAGCATAACGGCTACAAGTCTAGGATTAGTTACGGCCCAGGTCGTCGCACGGACTAATAACGGTCAGCCTACCTGTCGGGAGCATGAAAACCCATCCGATGACCATGATCCCGATGTGCGCATAGATCGCAGTAACATGCTCGGGATGCGCAAAATACGTTTTTGGGTACGAGTCCGGGTCGGGTTTCGCCTCTTCGCCACTCATCGCATCGTGACCCATGTCTCCGCCGTTCCCCATATCCATGGCGCCTTCGTCGCCGCCGTGTGCGAGCACCGCGGGAAGAGCGCCGACAACTGCCAGCAGGGCTAGCAGCCTGAATAGTTCTCTTGCGCTTGACGGCATAGTGTCTCGTTCCGGCTCTTTTGGGCTGAGACGCACACCAGACTGAGTGTCCCTCGCTGGCCCTCCCTACCTATGTACGATCGCAGTTGGATAGCAATGACAAAGACGGTGTCTGAAAACGAACAATGTCTGTACACATCAACACATTCCTGTTGAAGCTGGGCACACCCCGCCAGATAGACACGTGCTGTAGTATCCCAGTGACTCGGCGCCCGGGAGTAAACTTCAAGTTCGTATGTAGTGTAAGTCGTCCAGCAGATAAAGCCGGATGAAAATTAGGTTTTAGGCGTGGGGACTACTCTGCACGTTTTGTATTACCGAGATGGCGATCCTTCGCGCTCAAAGACCTTGCTCGGGCGGGTGTTCCCTGCCGCGCTCGATCCGAGTATTAATAATAGGTATTAATAGGTATTATAGAAGCAATTCGAGCTGGTTAGACCAGGCTGGGTAGGGCAGCAGAAACCTCAGAAGGGAGATGCGGTGATGGAGGGAAGCCGAGGGCGAGCGTCCACATAGATACCTAGGTTACCGGTACTACCTCTACCTGGTCGTCTGAACCTGGGTAAGCTCTGGTAGTAGCTTTGGGTAGCTTAGGTACCCAGGTTAGTACCCAGGGCGTTACCCGGGTGGCAGAAAATTTTGTACAGTAACATTTCGCTCCGCTGGCGATGCATATCGGCATCGGAGCTTCCAACCGGACATGGGTCTCGTGAACGAGGCTTCCACCCAGCCTAATACGCTAATGTAGAAGAGGTGCTTGGAAAGAGGCTGCGGGACCAGAAGCTCTCGCTGATACAAGGCCACGATGAGGTGCTCCGGTCACGGTTGAACTCTATTGGCGATAGCTATCTACTAGTGGGCATTGTGCAGTACGGTACCTACTGAATAGGTACGGTACCTGTGCGTATACCATAAGGTACGAAGTATGTGTAGACAGGTCTGCTGATAGCTTCGCTTCGCCGCGTGCGTAGGCCGTACAAAAAGAGTGGTCGCAAAATAAGAGGGGAACTGAGTCAGTCGGGGCTCATTCGCGACTTGTCTGTCATCCGAAGCTTCCGAGCTGCCGGCATCAGATTCTAGTGTAGGTAGCGGAATATCAAAGAAATACTGATGGGAGGAGACGAAATGTACACTAGAGAGGGTGGGTTTTTGCCCTTTCGCCAGACAACGGTCAAGCTAAACCCTGCGCGCAGGAAGATATGACAGCATCGAACCACATCACACCGACCCACGACTGCAACTAGCGTAGCTACTGTGGGTCTTTTATGGGCCATAAAATCCTATGCATGCATCGAGCTAGTACTGGTGTAGACTAAGAAGTTCTCTGCAAGCGCTTGGCGGCCACATCCGTCTGCAACCTTGGCCAATGGTGAAGGTCGTGGTCTCAAGCCGACCTGAAGGGGTCGTTGTACATGCCGACATGCGAGCTTAGATACTAACGTAGTATCCGCCTTGCTGTGTGCACCACATTAGTGCAGTGCGGTATACAATACAATTTGATAAGATCCGCGAGCTTTACATTGAAAGACTGCAGTGTAGTCACACCGCATGATACCTAGCCTGATTTCGCTTATATATTGCCTATGTATCTTCTGCATAGGAACGTCTATAGGTATCAAAGTGTAGCTAGTGTACTGTAATTATAAACTATCGTACTCCATAGTGCAGGGGTAAACCAATACCACAACAGCCGGAAAAAACGGACAGGGCCGGAGTTAGAGTTGTGTCTAGGTAAGCCTAGGACAAGTATGATCCCCACTATGTGATTAAAATGTACAAATGGAGTGGGTGCACAGTACATACAGATGACTATTTCGGGCTTACTACCGCTAATACCAAGTCTTTTGACCAAGTGTTGCTGAGATTGTGGGTATGAATTATTATTTATTAATAATTCATGTTCCGTTGGCACCGACAAGTTGTGCAACAACACCTTGTACACTCCAGTCGCGGCAGACGGCGGCCTAGTAGCCCTACCACGATAACTCAAAGCTCTTTCTAGCGTATAGACAAGGGTTCGTCTCCGTGGGTTGGGTAGGTTGGCGTATAAAACCTACCTATTGATCAGTTTGGTACTGACAAACCACAGTAGTTGGTGTGGAAGTGTTGCAGGATGGATGGTATTGGCTCGTGTACCAGTGCCTTACAATATAAACAGCAAGTACGAAGTATGATGAAAACAACACAGCTTGAAGACAGCCACTTCCGCGACAAGTGAAATTCTCATTGGGGCGGGAGGTCTTCCGCGTCACAGCATTGTAGCGTAATCCGGC